CCCGTCCAGTACAGCTCATCAATATATTGTCTGTCTAACCCCCTTCTTCCAGCCATGCCTTTGTATGCATGAAGGTTATTAAGAAAAAGCATTTTACTCATTTCATGTTGCACACCATGTATTTATTAAAGTTTTTGTTTCCATTTCTAGTAAAGCAGGATCAGTGCTTCAACTTCCTTAAGATCTCACTTAGATTCAGAATCTAAGTTGTGATCTCACACATGCCAGTGGATTGGCATCCTATTTACATGCGTTCCGACTATATGGGAACTTACTTTACTATTCAGTTTACTCCCATGGTTTTGCATTTGGTAAGCATTTAAAAACTGGAATGCATGCTTTAATGTCTGTTGACTGTGAGAGTAAAGGCCATATCAGTTATGTTGCCAGTGTTGTTGCAAACACCATGGAGGCAGGAAGGCATACTAAAATATTTTCCCTTAGTTCTGCGTTTCTGTAACTGCAAGAGTTGGATGAGCAGGCAGTTTTCAGTGTTTTTTACTTTATGGAATTTGTTACTTTAAGTACTCGAAAATTATTCCTTAACTGTTTGTAGTTTAGGTGGAGAAATCCTTATCAGTGAAACACATACTTCCAGAAACTTTGGGAACAAATCAACAGACTGGAGGTGTGATAGAAAGATTGGTAGAGTTGAGTAACCAGTGTGTGAGTAAGGAGTGTGGGGGGGACATAACAGGGTCATTCCTTGTTTAAAGAAAGCCTTTTTCCCCATCTTCACACTTGATTTGAGAATCGGTACTGACTGTGAGTCCAGTCATATCAGTCTTATTCTGTGTGGGTACTGACTTAATTTTTGGTACTGCAGAAACACTGTGCAAACACGAAGGAAGTGGGGCAACAAACTAGGTCATCACCAGGAAACAAAAATACTTATATTGGCTTTAGTATTTGATGTTGATGCCTTTGTGACAGATCATTCTGGTAATTTTCTATCGTTATAGTAGCATTAAACTGGTAATCTTTATCAGTGCAAACTGTATTTTGCACATTAAGTGACACAACAGGGAAGTGGAGGGAAAAAAAATTCAATTGTAGAAGTGATTGAGCTTAGAAATATTTTCTTTGTCCTAAAATACCTCAAATTTGCTTTATTTATTTTAATTTATTATACTATTAATATTATTTTAACAGAGTACAAAATCAAAAAAGAGGAGGAAATCAATAATATTAGAATGCATTATGAGAAGAGCATTAACACTGAAAGAACTCTGAAGACACAGGTATAACTTTTTATGCAGTTTAATACCAGTAATAACTTTGCATATCAGAGATATTTTCCATTTATTGATTTGTGTGCAACTAACTTTTAGTTCCTTTGAGATTAAGTGTATGCTAACCATGATATACCATGATATAATATGCGTTGTTGATACTTACTTGAAAGAATAAGTTTTGATGCTGTGTACTTTTAGCATTACTTCTATTGTAAGGGCCATTTATGTTGGTGAAGGTTTTTTTTTTTGATCGAATCCTGTAGCTAGAGGACCTTAGTTTAGTATGGAACATGTTTGCATATATCACTTTTCTTACTGGTTTTCCTTTTTCTTAACAGGCTGTCAACAAACTGGCTGAGATAATGAATCGGAAAGATTTTAAAATAGACAGAAAGAAAGCGAACATGCAAGATTTGAGGAAGAAAGAGAAGGAAAACCGAAAGCTCCAATTAGAGCTTAATCAAGAAAAAGAGAAATTCAATCAGATGGTAGTGAAATACCAGAAGGAGCTCAATGAAATGCAAGCGGTAAAACATTCTTAATTTTCTGTCACATTGTAGCGTTCTCTCCACAGGAGAAATGTATGGGTCCTCATCTAATTGAAAAAAAAAATACAAGTTCTGTTTCAGATATTCTAGGCTACAGAATTTTGGTGAGGCAGAGAACCTGACAAGTGTGCAGCTATGCTTGTTCTCATTCACTTCCCCTTTCTAAATTCTTAACTGTGGAAGTCACTGCTATGTTATGAAGACTAAAAAACTTAACCTTGTGTAGCATACTACTTATGCAGTTTGTTTCACTGGTAGGTGGTCTCGATTTCAAGACAAATGGTAATTTAATAGATTAATGAGACTGTTTTATACTTGAACGTGTTGCTGGATCTTTGATACTTTTTCCAGGGCTGAACAAACACTTCTAGTATAATAATTTACGCTAATGCTATCAAAAGTGTCAAGAGATATTAAAAAAACAGTAATGAGTTTTGTTTTCAGAGTACTTTGCTGCCATATTTTGGTATCACAGTAACTGTGCATGTGTATATAAATACAGCAACTAGCGGAAGAATCTACATACAGGAACGAGCTCCAGATGCAGCTGGATAGTAAAGAGAGTGACATAGAACAACTACGAAGGAAAATTTTGGACCTCCAGCAAGGGATGGATTCCACTAGTGTGGCTAGTCTCCAGCCAGATGAAACAGATGGAAATCTGTCAGGTAAGAGAGAACCATATTTGAACTACTTGATTTTCTGCATACACTCAGTTTTGGAAGGTATTGTTTCAGAGCAGTTACTGCCTCTTAAAATCTTCTGACTGTCTCTTTTCATATCGCATCTCCACTTCCTTTTTTTTGTTGTTGTTGTTTTTATTTCATACCTTAGCTGCTTGTATCTAAGTGTTAATTTCGTCTCACATCACTCCTCCCACTGTATGGCTTGGGATTTGTATAATTTTTATCCACTTTTGTGGAAAGAGTATCTTTACATCTGCTGCTGTTTGCATACAGTGAACACGATGTGCAGTGCCCAGTGAATAGAATACAGGGCCAGCACTTCCACGACATCGTGATTATATTTTATATCTTGAATGCAAAATTGCCTTGATCCTGTCTGTTCTTACTCGCAGGCATGTAGTACCTTTGTGACAAGTGGCAATAATTGCCCACGTGAAAAATAATTGTAGGAATTGCTGTAATGCACTTATGGCTGTATAGTACCCTGATTTAGCAGATTACAATACGGACAAATAGTGCAGTGTAGTTAGCCATTTCCACGTAGTGTCAGACCCACTGTTACACTGGTTGGTGATTTCCCCCTCCCTGATGTTTGAAAAGTGTAATCAGGTAGTACTGTCACGCGATCTGCTTTTGTATCTCTAGATACAGGAAAAAAGTTTAGTGGTAATAAGCTGTGCCTAATGATTTCTGTATGTATGAGCTGCGTTTGTTTATTGGTATAGTTATTTTTATAATTCATTGTGAAATTTTTAATAAATGCTTGTCTTACATGCTTGTCTTACAGATTTAGTCTGGTTTTTATTGTAGAAAAATATAGTCAAACATATGAAAATAGACTACTATTTTGAGTATTTTAAGGCTTCAGTGGATGAGTAATCAGATAAAAGTAAATGGAGTCATTTTAGGTGTCTCTCTTCCTGTTAATGCACTTCACGCTGCTCAGATTGTCACATTCTAGAGTTTTTCCAGGGGTCTTAGAGTGATTGAAATTTCAGGTAGGTTATGAGACTTAGTATATGTTTTTTTGTAGTTATTCCTTTCCGTGTCTATTTTTGTGTCCTGTCTTCCCCTAATGTATTTTTAGTTTTTCATTTTTAGTTAGTACTTAAATGAATTCTGTTCTAGAATAGATTTTCATTTGGATAATGATCTAGTCTTGTCTTCACCACTTCCATTCTGTCCAAGAAGCCTTTTGCAGTCTGAAGTTTGATCTGTAAAACCCTCAGGCAATTGCCATCTTGGGAAGTAAATGTCTATTTTACTACTTTGGAAAACATCTGGGCCAAACTTCTATCAAAACTCAGAATTGGGAATTCTTACAGTTATTAGATTGGTGAAAGAACACTTTTTTTTTCCTAGCTGTCACCTGCTAGGAACTACCTCTGGTATTTCTGAACTGTCAGTACTTCTCAGGACTTTTTCTCTTAGATATTACTTAGGGCACTCCATTTAATTGGGGTAAAAAAGTAATCAGAGAGGTTTTACTTATTAGTGTGTTTTTCTCCCTTCAAATTACTGTTTTGAATCAAGCCTTATTTTTGATAGTGTCTCCTAAGTGAAGAACACTGTAGTTAGTAATTTTTTATTGAAAATTTCTAAACTCCTGTAAATTGAGATCTGAAATTTTTCTACAAGAAAACAGCCTAGATTTATTCTGCATAAAAGGGTAGTTTTGAACTTCCTCACTTTCCTTCTCAGCTTTTTTCAGTATAATGGCTGTTGTGTATTACACTGAAAACACCCAATGCCTCCATCTGGCCTTAGACACCTTCCCTGTTTTCTTCTTAAGGGCAATAGTATGCCAGTATGACCCTGTTATCTCTTAGATCTTGGAAAGACTGTAGGACTAAGCTCTCTTTTTTTTTTTTTTCTCTGCCCCATTACAGTATGTTATTTTCAGTTTTACCTCTGGAGATGTGTGTAGTCAGGCTTCTGGCTGTATGACCTGTCACTTCAGTTTTGGGGCAGAAATTTTGGTATATGCAAGATCTTTTCAAGTCAGCTATAACTTTTCCATTGTTAGTTAGAACATCATAATTACTGGAAGTTCTGTGGCCTTTATCTTCTATACTCATGACCCCTCTAACTATTTCTTTTTTTACTAGCCTTTCAATATTGTGTCCAGTTCTGGGCCCCTCAGTTCAAGGACAGGGAACTGCTGGAAAGAGCCCAGCGCAGAGCCACAAAGGTGATGAAGGGGCTGGAACATCTCCCTCATGATGAAAGGCTGAGGGAGCTGGGTCTCTTGAGCTTGGAGAAG